CAACTAAAAATTCAGAAAGAATTCAGTACTGATATATATACTCTTTCACAGGGGCAGAGCATGTCAGCACAACAATGAACCCTGGCAAAGCTTCTTTAATAGATTAGCCTGAGAGAGATGCAAGAACCATATTTTGTCAACAGAGAAAGGAAAACAGGAACAAACTGAAATCTTAATATCTTTAGCAGCTACTCCCCCAAGGCTTTTCTCAGGGGCAGAGAGTTCATTTGTGCATGTGCCAGTTACACAGCCAGTGACGGCCGAATGAAACAGAGGGGGGAAAAGGGATTCTTCTCCATGCAGCTATCACACTTCGATGAATTTTCTTCTCGTATGACTTACTGACAAAACAACAGAAATCCAGGCCTTTCCAAAGAAACAATGCAAAACGCCTGACTCAAGGAACTCGGAATCTGCCTTTAGTTTCCCACAGAAAAACAGCAGCCTTATACTTCCGGTCTGCACGTCTTATTTTAGATTACAGAAAATATTTGCACAGATCACTTACTGGGATGAAAAGTTAGGATTTGATGCTACAAGATCCAAAATCTCTTTCTTCCACTAAAGCAAAAAACATCTGATGGTCAAAACCTCATAACTTTAGTTGCTGTTAAACTGGATTTGATTTTGTTTTATAGCAATCTTCATCAGCCTTACTATTTTTGAGGCCTTCTCCTATTTTGTGCATGACTCCTAGCAAGTGTGGATTTACAGACTTCAGAAATATAGAACAGTACTGGCAACTACACAACGTTGTTACAACAGTTGGTGGTCTTGAAGAAGAGGAAGGTTGCAATAAGCATGCACTACTCTTGCAAGAAATCTGGAACAAAACATTTGGTGAGTTGTCTACACATGCTGCTAGAATCAATGGTTGTTCAAAAGATTGTAGCAATCTAGGGATTCTGTACAATAACTTAGTGTCCTACGAAATTTAAATTACAACATCCTTCGCATTGCTGATGCTCTTTTTCAGATAGCTTCAAGCCAGATACTGGGCTAAGTTTGTGTTTGAATACACTACAGCCAATTTCCCGAGCAAAAGACACCTGGTTCTTTCTATACTGAGTTTCATTACTTCTGAAAGTGCCAGTTAAAACCCAAGCACATCTGTTTGGTTTTTTTGTTTTGTTGGTGTTTTTTTTAAGGACTATTCCAATCCAGATTTGTGAACACTGGTGAGAAAAGTTAGCATCTTCTGCTTTTATTCCTATAGTACCTGCACACTGTACGCCGCTCTGGGAAAGTGCTCTTTTTCCTGGCTCCTGAATAGCTACCGAGGCTTCAGACAGACAGTCTTTACAAAGGTTCTCATGTTGCAAATTTCTTAATGTACTTGAGCTCTTTACTGCAAGGAATTAATGAACAGGAAGAAAACCCTCCCTTGGCTTTTACTTTCTAATCAGAATTTGCAGCAGTAGCTGTCAGAAATAGCATTTTATTTATAAACAGGTAAGATTTGAGATAGCTACCAAGGTGCAAACATAGAGCATTCCAAAGCCACCTCATAATCCCTTCCCAGAGTCAAACTGCACTTTAAAACAGTACTTTAAAAAGTATGAACTGTCTTAAACCACCAAATGACCTGGCACTTCAAATAAACATTTCCAAAAACCATCATAAAGATGATCGATTGTTTCTACAGAAGTTTAGCCATTAGCTTTCCACCATCACACAGCTTTAAATTAAAGATGGAAAGGGTGATACAGCTTCCCTGATAGTTCTCAGTAAGGGAAGCACCGTAGAACCTTCAAGGCCCCAACCAAAACCAGGAACTCCTGCAGAAGTAGAGTTCATATTTATGAACTACAGCATCCTGCTCTGAAAAGCTCATTTCCCAAGCTATGTAAGGTATTTTCTAGGAGTCACCATCTCTGAGATTATTAAGTCTCAGAAGCAATCAGAGTACCAGTAACTTCCTTTACAACAGATTTATAGACATTATCCACAGTACAAAAATATTTGACATTAAATAGAGGAAAATTCTGAATCCCTTCCTAGGCCTGTACTGGCCACTGATAAAGATTAGCCCAATGTAAACTAAGTACATTAGTAAACTAGCACATTTAATGGGGACAACAGAAAGTAAGTCAGATCCTGAAAAGTCATGTAGTATTGTACATTGTATTGTAATTAAGTATAGTGTTGTAATTAAGTGTTGTGACTCAAACTACTTTCTGGGATTTTAGAATTAGAGTGCCCCATTTCTGAGCTTTTCTCCCCAGAAGAGATATGGGAATTAGACATATTCATTTAAGAGTTTGTATGGCATTAAATAATTAGAGAACTCAAGAACTAGTACTCTATTAGTAGTAATAGTAAGGCTAAGAAGAAAACTTACAAAGTTTTAGAGTCAGTAACTTGAAAACTTATAAAGTTTAGAGTCAGAGTTGAATGCTGAGTTAGTGGGGATTAGAAAATTACCTAAATTGATGTAATGAAAGCAGGTTTTTTTATCAGATAATAAGCAGACAAAATTATGCCTCTCAAAAGAAAAGGCTAACATCAACACTCCAGCCTTCAAACAAAAACCAGTACTGAGTGTCTGAACACACTGCAGTCACAGGGGACCTCCTTTAAAGCTTAGCTGGCTGACACTGGGGCTTGTGGGGCTGATGGGACAAGTTGTCAGCATTAGTATTTTGTTTCAAAGCCTCTTCCACACCACCACGTCAGGTTCAGGAGAAAGCTATAGCCTAAGAAGTACAGATGTGGGTGACGAATTTGATTCAGACTGTGAGTTAATAACAGCTAGGTTAGCCAATGGGCTAAATGGGAGTGATGACACACACAGCGTGAAGGGAGCCTGTCTCATGACCTGTCACTGAATTCCCAGTAATAGCTATGAACTGCTCAAGTATTTCTGAACAGATTAAAGGTGACCAGTTTTAAAAGGGGATTTTAAATTAGCTTTCATACACGTGATTCATTTTTACTTTGTATTGGGTTTGTGTGGCAAGGTTTTGGTAGCAGGGGGGCTACAGGGTGGTTTCTGTGAGAAGTTGCTAGAAGCTTCGCCTATGTCTGATAGAGCCAATGTCAGCCGGCTCCAAGATGGACCCACCGCTGGCCAAGGCCGAGCCCATCAGCGATGGTGGTAGCACCTCTGGGATAACATATTTAAGAGGGGGGGGAAACCTGCACAACTGCAGCCGAAGAGAGGAGTGAGAATATGTGAGAGAAACAGCTCTGCAGACACCAAGGTCAGTGGAGGGGGAGGAGGAGGAGGTGCTGCAGGTGCTGGAGCAAAGATTCCCCTTGCAGCCCGTGGTGAAGACCATGGTGAGGCAGGCTGTCTCCCTGGAGCCCATGGAGGTTAACGGTGGAGCAGATATCCACCTGCAGCCCATGGAGAACCTCACACTGGAGCAGGTGGATGCACGAAGGAGGCTGTGACCCCATGGGAAGCCCACGCTGGAGCGTGCTCCTGGCAGGACCTGTGGCCCCATGGAGAGAGGAGCCCACGCTAGAGCAGGTTTGCTGGCAGGACTTGTGACCCCGTGGGGGACCCATGCTGGAGCAGTCTGTTCCTGAAGGACTGCAACCCGTGGAAGGGACCCACACTGGAGCAGGGGAAGAGTGTGAGGAGTACTTCCCCTGAGGAGGAAGGAGCAGTGGAGACAACGTGATGAACTGACTGCAACCCCCATTCCCCATCCCCCTGTGCCGCTGGGGGGGAGGAGGTAGAGAAATCGGGAATGAAGTTGAGCCTGGGAAGAAGGGATGGGTGAGGGGAAGGTGTTTTAAGATTTAGTTTTTATTTTCTCATTACTCTACTCTGATCTGATTGGTAATAAATTAAACTAATTTCCCCAAGTCGAGTCTATTTTGCCCATGACGGTAATTGGTGAATGATCTCTCCCTGTACTTAACCCACGAACCTTTCGTTATATTTTCTCTCCCCTGTCCAGCTGAGGAGAGGAGTGATAGAGTGGCTTTGGTGGGCACCTGGCGTCCAGCCAGGGTCAACCCACCACATACTTCTTTTTTAAAATCTTTACTCCAAATGAAATACTTTGAACTGAGAACTCTTGGCTCGTTCACAATGAGTTGCACACGTTGGGGTGCTGCTCTTCAAAAACTTGACCTCAGGCCACAGCCCACGTTGTTGCAATGTTGCAGATCATTTGAAATCTATGGCATTATCTGGTCTGTTCTAGCTATATGGAAAGAGTAAGCCACAGCTGCAGCTTCTAGTGTTCCTGCACAAGGTGAGCTCACAAGAAAAAGGGACAAAAAGTACTATGAGCGGAGATTACTCCAGGATTGAGAAAAACACAAGTTTGCTGTCTCTCTTACAAGACTGGAGGTTGTACTTTTTCTTCTACATCAGTGTCTGCAGGCCTAATTCCAAATAAAGACAAGGCCTTTGTGTCTTTGCAGATGACAACATGTAAATAAAATCGTAGTTTACACTGCCTTACTGACTTTTTCATAACTACATACAGTTTCCACTGCAAGAAGAAATACCTGCCTTTCTGCTAGCCTTCTGAGTGCTACTTGGTATGCCCAAGTAGCAAATAGAAAATTAATATTGCCCCACATGAAGTGGGCAGACTATTTGTACAATTACTAGGGGAGGGGAGATATAAATGATCTGCTAGGAAAAGTTTACAGCTCTCCTCTGTACGTTGTGACAACTCTGTAAATTGTTAACAAATGGGCGGCACTGCCCCCGACTGCAGTTGAGGCAGTGCCGCAACCCTGATAAACTTCCTATCAGGGGTTTAAACATGACCAAGGGGATATGCTCACCTCTCAGGAGAATGCTAATAGCAGTTTTGTAATGGTAATAGACGACTGTTACCAAAAGCATGTTGGAATGTCACAGACTGTATAAATTCTGTCTCAGAGGCTCTTATGAGCTGCTTGTCATCTCTCAGCATGTCTGAAAGCTCTGGAGGCTCTGGACAATGTTCTGGAAGATGTTAAAACTCGTCAACCACACTCATGACTGAATGGACATTCCCCAACTTCCACCACAGTTATAAAGCCTCCCATACATTACTTATTCCTTTGTGGCTCTTCGCAAAGGTACCCCATGCACGCCAACTTCTGTGCAGTTTGCTAATCACTTTATTGGAATAAGGGTGAGCTGTGCACTATGTTTTCCTATACCACTACTTATTGGGGTCAAACACTGTTGACCACATCTATAGCTGAGCTAGTGTCTGGAACTTGTATAGCAGAAGCGATTTATTTACTGCAAGTAGTTGGATTTAGTTAATCTGTTTTAAACAGACTAAGTAATGTTCAGAGTGTTTATGTACACGGTCCAAGGGCAGCTCCTGCTCTGCTTCACAGCTTCCTTTGCAATATGCAGGAGCACCTCTGGACTGTCAAGAGTTTAAGTCTAGGCTGAATGTGTTTGGGAATAACGTGCACGTATTTAAATATAAAATTCTGTTGCATTAATTCTGCAAGTTTCTTCAAAATGAAAAGCTCTGGTAATGCTCAAATGGGAAAAAAGTTTGTGGATTTTTTTTCCAGGTCACATTTCAAGTTCAGGGGTAAATTCCTTGCTCTATTGAAATATTGTGAGTTCTGCTACTTAATTCAGTGAGATGAGGATTTCAGCAAAGAGATTTCCTTGCATGCTTAGGACTTGGATAAAATTTTGCAGAGTTGGGCTAAGTACTTAAGAAATCTGGGCCAAATCATAGCTTATGTAGAAATTATGAAAGACTGAGGTATAAGCTCCACTTTCTTTTTTTTTTGTGTATATACAACTAGCAGCTAATATTAAGTATTCTCCCACATGTTCAAACATTCCTATAAGCATTTGAGAGACACGCAGAAGTCTTACAATAGTATAATTTACATAGAGTAAATAAATCATCCCCATGTAAGGAAGTTAGACTATGCCAAACATTTCAAGAATGGGAATGTGGAGGAAAAGAGACTGTCAAGACATACATAGTATCACATCATCTCTATCTGGAATCTAACACCTGAAGTAAAGAATTCAAGAGAATGAATTCTTGGCTGTGTATATTACTGGTGCTAGAGAAGTTAAAAGAATTAGCTTAGAATACCCAGAATCAGCAGAAGAGAACCAACAGTGTACTCAGGTGCTAATTCAGTGCTGTATCCAAGACCACTGGCTAAAACCCGTAACAGCCTTAAACTGGGAAGCTAACTCTGAGACCACCTCTTCACACATCTGAGTGCCTTAACAGTAAGACAATCACCATTCAGTTGTGGAATTACTGTGTTCATGTCGAATCACATAAAATAAAAGCACATAGAAAGAGTGCTCTCAAATGGCTCAAAAAGAGCCGTCCACAGACTAAGCCTAAAAATATGACTTGGCAATTTCCAGGCACTATTAAAGAATGAAAAAATGTTTATTTTTAAATAGTCTCAGTTCCTTCTTTTCTAAAATAAGGACTTATTCCATGCCAACCTCAGAAGAGAGTACTGCACATTAGTGCAATATTTAACCCATCCTTTGAAAAATACGTAGTGCTGAATGAACTTGCAGAGAGCATCGATAGATAGAAGTAATACCGTTACTTGCAAAGAAAACAGAACAACCATGAATAGGGAGATCAATCTACCGGCAGATAAATTGATATTGCTATTACTGCTAAACAATACTTTCAGTTACTTAATAATACTAATTTTTGGTAGCAAAAAGATAGGACTATTCACTGTTGATAATGTCAAATCATTATGTGTTTTTATCTGTATTTCTTATGGACTACAATGGGAGTTTTGCGAGCTCAGTAGTTTTGTAAGTCCAGATACTTCTGAATGTCATTTTGCCGGTATGTGAATCATGCAGCCTGTAAAAAAGACTGCCCTCGTGGGATTTTCATATGTAGTGGAATGCATGCATCTAAATTCTGAGCCAGCATGTACTATTTCATGTATACTAGAAATGAGCTTGCTCGGCCTTTCAGGTTGCAAGACAAGTAACAGGAGAAATTCACTGCCACATTACAGGGGTGAAAACAACCAGTTTTCTACCTTGGGTGGGAATTCCTAAATAGGGTTTCCTACACCTTCCTCTGAAAGTGTCAGGACTGGCCACAATGTGATTGGACTTCACAGGTTAGTGGTCTGATCTATATGACAACTGTTACCTTCCTACAAAAAGTCTGTGTATTTGTGCTCCTAGGAAAATGTAAATAGGAAGTACTTTCTATTTCTTGTATCAAATAAAGGTATCTTTGTCTGCTTCTGGAATACTAAGAAGTCTGAACTCACTGTGACTGTAGGGTGCTGGCTGGGAATAAAAAAAGAGAAAAGAGAAGCAGCCTGGAGATTTTCACAAAGCTCTGGAGCATTCCATGCATATGGAAACATTTGCAGTAGCATTAGCAGTAGTGCCAAAATACCTCTTCTCACTGTAAAGGCTATCTTCTGACTGGCAACTGCAAGAAAATACATTTCTACGGTGTCAACTGCCATCTCTTTAATTTTGCAGGCCAGGGGGGCAGTGCTACCTTGTTTCCCATGTATTGCCCTGCTTGAAATTCAGCCTACAGAGAGCAGAAGGGGAAACAGTGCAGTAAAAAGAAAACAAAACTCCTTGGATTCTGGGTGGGGTGGAGAGCCACATACTGGATCTGGAAGGAAGAAACACAGTTCTCCATTCTGCAGTACTATCAGCTGCATGGTTAATTCCCTGGAGTGCTCCTGCAGTGTCCATACATTCAAATGTACTGAAAGTAAGCTGTAACTTAAGAGTATTTAACATATTTTATTGCAGGCTCAAAGCTGATTGTAGCCAATTATCACCATTTTAAATATTCAATTTATGTTTGCATGTACTTTTAAGTTATTTTGTTCACAGTAAAAAACCCAATTATTTTATCATAATGGCTACGTCTTTCCTTAGGACTCCTTTTTTCTGTCTCAGCTTGTCCCAGAGTTGAATCTTTCCTAAATGACTCTTTCCAAATGAATATCATCGTTATCATGTTGTCTTCTTCTTTTCTACTTTTTTTTTTTTTTTTTTTTTTAATATATATTGGCAGCTTTAGATGTTATCACAGAACAACCAAGCCTGGGACACTATGGACAGGTGCTGGGCAAGATTCTTTACATAGCTTTTCTGTGACAAGGCACCTCAACCCTTGGCCTCCAGCACCTGTTGCTCTTCTGGTCCTGGATTTACTAGGGAGTTCTCTCTCTGCTCCCTCCGTGTCCACACTCCCTCTTGTTCTACTCCTGGGCCTCCCAAGTTCTTGCCTTTATGCAGCTCCTGCAGTTCCAATCCTGGACTGGAGAGACCCTGAGCATAATCTAAGCTATGCAGATTCAGCATATTGGGTGGTTTGTGGGTTAGGTTTTGGCTTTTTGTTTTGTTCTTTTTTTTTTTTTTTTAGTTTTATTTGCTCTTTTCCTAATGTTCTTTTAGAGACACCAGCCAAGGTCAGGCCTGGGTTGCAACTCTACTCCTTCCCACTTTGTGGGCAATGGAGAGAGCAGAATGGCAGCAGCCAGGATGGAGTGTTTACACTTCCTCCTTCCCTCTACAATGGTGTAGACCATTGCATGGTTCAGTATGATCTGCAGGATTTCAATGCAAAGGCCACAGTCTCCTATTCATACAGCATCGCTGAGCTTATCTGCTTGCACCCACTGTTGAAGGCTGTGTGAAAAAAGTAAACACAGGCCTCTCACTACTATAGTCAGCATGACTGGTTTGGATTTTTGCACTGTGTCATAGGTCATCTGTGATGTTGTTATTTCTTGAAAAAATACTTGTGCTCTTTTTGCATTCACTTTTTTTTTTTTAAGAGTAATGACACTTGTTTGCTAGTGTGGAATGGAATAAAAATTTTAAGTAAAGCCTATCCACAAATACAAATGCACAAATCCAAAGACCATGTTATCTGTGGTGTTCCCCAGCTGATCAGTGTCCTGGACATAATAATCCCTCTTTCGCATTCCATGTAAGAAAGTCCTCATGTAATGCCATCTGTTCTTGCACTGGCAGGTTTACTTCCTACCATACCATGTGGCAATTAACATTTGTATCTCATCTTGGCATTGGACATTTGACATGCAATCAAAGGGGTCCCCAGACTGTTAGAGCCGGGAGCTCTGGAGGCCCTTTCTATAACCACTTGAAAGGTACTTGCTTTTAGGGTTTGAGCCATGCAAATCCATGAACCATGATTCTCTTTGTACTTCAGATCTTAAACTGATGTTGATCCCGTACTTTGCAACTAGACAGCTAAAAGTGTCCAGACTCCAGTGTCCAGTAATGAAGGTTACTGTGTTATCCCAGGATCCCCTCAGCTGCAAGATTTGGAAAGCAACTGTGCCGAGGTGATACACTTTGGAGCCATAAAGTACCACAACCAGCTCTCAGAAACACATTGCCTGTACAGAGCTTTACTGACAACAGCAAGCGCAGCGTAGGGCCTTCCCTACTGATAGTCACATTTGGAAATACA